AACTGTGTTAATACAGTATGTCAAAATGAAAACATAACTGTAAATTCAGACACGTGAGGTTGTGCTGAAAAGGATGATACCAAACAAGGCAAAGTAAATTGTAAATTGTTTGTGTAGGTTCGACTGTCCTGGTGCCTTTACCTTGGGGTGCAGCGTTGAACCCTTGCACCAGCTTGGCTTTGTTCTCGCTGAAGAAGCGCTGGCGGTACATGATGCGTACATCAGCGTGGCAAGCTCTGTTCAGGACGTCGGTGGAGTCACTCATGAGTAGAGAGAAGCCGTCTGCCGCCGCCATCGGACCTAAACCGGCATCGTCGAGCAGAGAGAAGAGCTGCGAGGTACACAGAAAAGAGAGTAACACCAAATGTGTTTTCCACTAAAAACACAGTAAGAGTGAAAGCTCCACTGTGTGCTGCTCACAGTTTTGTACCTTGTCGGTCAGTGTTGTGAACAGAGGGTGGTATCGCAGAAGCAGAGCCTTGGAAACCTGCGGACAAGCACAACCTTACTATCATTCTGAAAAAGATTTGTAAGGTGAGTAGTGAAACAAGTAAAAGCTCTTAATGCGCTGATGATTAGGAGTGAGCAGTACAGACACAGTCACTCTTACCCAGATCATAAGTGTAAATGCCTGAGTGTGAATAGAGGAGGAAGGTGAGTCCAGCTCGCTGCACACTCTCTTCACCGTCCTCTGAATTAGGCTGTCGAGGGAATCTCCTGAAGAAGAAACAGAAAATGTTTTAATAAATGATCTAAAGCTTTTAGATTTAATAAAAGCCGAGCTGTGGCAGGACACAAACTGACCCTGTGGTTTCTTGTTGACCAGGCCAGCAAAGCACTTTGCAGCTGACGTGTATGACAGCGGGTGGCTGCAAGTGCAGCTCATCTCCTCCAGTGCCGACAGCAGTTTGTCAATCTGGGGCACCTCCACCTGCAGACGATACTTAACACTGTCAAAACAAACTTCAACATACATTTCCTAAAAGTTTTTATTTATTTCTTTAAATTTAACGGAAATCTGAATTAGTTGTTTAACACGAGACTCACGCTGCGAGGTAGAGAACACACACTGCCCATAAGCAGACAAACCAGCCGAGACAGGCTCCAGGAATCCCCCTCCTGCTTCTGAGAAAAGTAATCACACTTGTTACCCGAGACGTGACCTGATGGAGTGGTTCCAGTTTAAAGCTTGCTTCTACTCATAATGGAATGTGAATGTTGGCATTAATGTGCTTTCAGTACTTTTGTCAACTGCTCTTTTTCTCAAGCCAAATAATGGCAAAACACACATTTAAGAGATAAACAAATAAAAATAAATAAATAAAAACTAAACAAATGACTTTTCACTTGAGCTTTTCTGAAATAAAAACACTGTAAAAATATGCATATACCCAGTTGGGGGTTTGCCCATAGGTGTGAATGTGAGTGTGAATGGTTGTTTGTCTCTATGTGTTAACCCTGCGACCTGTCCAGGGTCCCTGCCTCTAATGCTGGGCTTACACTGTGCGGTTTTTGGCCCATTTTGAGCAGTTTTCAGTCGTGCGACCGTTTTGGGGGTTGGCCGAGTTTCGCCTTAATCGTGTGTCGTGCATCGTGTTGTAAACATGGGGTAACGAGAAGCAATTAACACCTCACAACCAGCTCCCGATCATCAATCGCTTGGTCGTAAGAAAATCAAACGTGTTTGAAATCCTGTCGGCCTTTGTGAGGGTGTCACTGCTGCCTCTCACACTGCACACGCACAAACACAGAAATGAAAGTGAAAAGGTGGAGCAGCACGGCAGTGCGGCATGTGATCTGGACACAAGCGATGAAAGCACACCTTGTAGAACTTTGGCTCATCTGAGCCTTTTCGATGTGGCCTCACGGAGTTATCACGACCGCTCTGACCGTGAAAATAGTTGGATCTATGCTGCTGCTCAATCACAGCTGCCTGATCAATGTTTTTCATTAGCAATTTAGCAAAGTTGATGGTGGTGGTGTGTCTGTGTGAGTGAAAGACAGAGAGGGAGAGCGAGAGACAGATTTTATGTTATAACCTTCATGTTATGGAGGCACAGTGTGAGCACTCAGGTCGCATCAGAGCATCGGGCCATATAGTGTGAGACCCTGCATCGTGACCTACGAACTTCTAACCCCTGCGAGTCAATCGTACAGTTTGAGCAGGAGCTGAATAACGCGACTGAAAAAAAAAATGCACAGTGTATGCCCAGCTTAAGACAGCTGAGATAGGCTCCGCCCCCCCACTGAAGAGAATGGATGAATGGTTATGTACATTTATGACCCTATATGTAGTTCTGACATTGTTTATTTTAGAAAGCTTAAAATCAGAAAAAGCCATCCAGAACACAACACTGCCTTGACATTTGTGTTGACTGCATCAGTTTATATACTGTCTGATTCTTTATAAACTAATTATACAGTCATTAATATTTAATACATAAAATAAATGAGCACAGACAAAAACAGACCTTGAGAAGCTGCATGTGTGAAGGGAACGAGTTGTCAGGCAAAAAAGAGACATCGCCATCCAGGAAGAGAGACACAGCTCTCGACGCCGTCTGCCCCGCCAGGCTGAAAGGAAGCCACACACACCTCATCAAAAAGTACGCTCTGCATTGTGCAAACAAATCAAAGGCATTCGCAAAGAAGAAAAAAAGAGAGACTGTGAAACAGACAGGAAATAGTATATTTAGATCAGCAGGTGTGACACAAAGGAGGAAATACAGCAAGTACAAGCTACTTTTAGTGCAACTTTGTTTTGTATATCTCTGCATTTAGAGACACTAGGTGTGATAAGAATAACAACATTTACTATGTGTAAATGTGTCAAAAGACAAAATAAAATTAGGCCAAGAGGTGAACAAGATTACTGACGTGGGCTGCAGTCTGGAGCAGGAAGTGCTGATGACAGGAACCATGGCAGACAAGACCACCTCCTCTACCAGAGGACTAGGAGTTCCAGATGATCCCTCACCTGAAGAGCAATTGTTTTTTAAAGTTTGGGGACTAAATGTTTTTGCCATGAACACGTTTTACAAATGAAAGCTCAATTCAGCTGTTAGAAAAAATATAACTGTAGCTTCAGGTCTCAATGGATGGAAGTCTGTTAATTCATAAGTTATACTGAGAAGATTCAAATTAAAACTATTTTGATGACGTAAGATGAAGCTGGTCAATCCTTTCACTGATCCTTTCTCACCCTGCAGTGCTGCCTGGAGCGCCAGAGACAACAGGTGTGGGATGATGATGTTGTGGAAGCAGCGTCCCGCTTCCTCGGTGTCCTGGACCTGCTCTGCTATTCTCTGAAGGCTGCGGCACGTCAGCACCACCTCATCCACTGAAAAACTAACATCACCTGAAATGAACAAGATGTCACAGAGGTGTTAACCCTAGAGCATTTCATAGGACAACAACACGCTTTGGTAAAGCTTTTTGAATTTGGAGACTAACTCCAGTGAAGTGATGTGTGATTGTAAATTTGCACCATGACCCACTGATCAGTTATAAACATACTATATATAAATATAAGTACTTGAAGCTAAAAAAAAAAAAGCATCTTTTTTGCCAGATTACCTGTGTGTGCTGAACGAAGGACCTCCAGGAGGACAGGTGTGCTCTCCTGGACAACACTGGGTTGGATGGACACTGCAGCCAGAGCTGACAAACACCGCTGACGCACTGCATGATGGGAATGTAGTTCAGAAGCCTCCCCTTGGTCTTGATTCATGGGCTCTGAACAGACAGGAGGGCCAGGTCACATAAACACTACTTGTATGTGTTCCTGTGCCTAAAATACATGATATTTTCAGCAGCTTACCAGTATACATCTCGTTCTTTAGTCTTGGAATCAGTTTGGAGATGACGAGTCCCGGGTGCAGCTGTGCTAAGGCTCCAGCACACTCCACCACAGCAAGACTGGAGGCAGAAACAAGACAAACACAAGAGAGGTGTCAGGATGAACGGGATTCAAATAGATAACAGAGAGCATCAAAGAGAAACGAAAGCTCACCTGACTCTGTCATCCTCTTCAATCAGCAGCAGTCTGGTCAGATGATCAAGAGCTAGCTCAATATCAGATTCTAACAGCAGACCTGAACAAGGGGAAAATATTTACAACATTCGTGAAAAACGTCTGACTCTGTTATAACGCTTTTAAGCAATTATATATTTTTTAATTTAAGTACCTGCTTGTTGTGCCAGTGATGTGAGCACAGAGGTGGCAGTGATCTGCAGGCTGGAGTTGTTCTCAGAGAGAGCAGAAAACACGACGCCGCACAGAGCTTCTCGGAAGGCTAAAAACACACTCTCATCTGAAGTAAAGAGACGAAACGCAGTTACGAGAAACAGAGGAGGTCAAAGCTGTAGTTCCCTTGGTCACAGTCAAGCAGCAAGTAAACAGTTATCTTTTTTTTTTTTTAACCACACTATAACTGTTTGAAGTTTGTGACAATTACAGTGTAAACACACAGAAACTGACAATGATTAAAGGTCAACAGCCGTAACCAAGTAAAGTTTTTCTTTGGTCACTGGACTGAATGTTTTAGCTTGACTCAGTTCAAACAAAAGACAAACAAAACTGTTTGATATATATCAGCAAAGTCACAGTCAAGAAGATTCAAATATTTACAGGATCGAGGACGTGCATATCTGAAATGTAGAGTAACAAATGAAGAGCTATAATTTCAAGATTTTATGGTCGATGTTGAAGTTTAATGAGATGCAGCGGTGACTAGAAGAGGGAAAAACAGCAGTGAACACAGCACTCACCATTGTCTGAAGACTGGCAGTTTTTTACTGAATGGATAAATCGCTGCACCACCTCCAGTAATGTCCTTCTATGGGAACACTGCACAGAGAGAGAAACAGATGTGATTATGGACTTAGTTGTGTTAAAAACAAAACAAAAACATAAAAATCCAGATGTTAATCAAAGAAAACAGGCTCTAGAGTTCTCATACAACACATACTCTCTACTCTACCCATACTTAAATAGCCCAAACCTTAGCTCATATTAAACCAGTTAAACATGTGGACATCAGCTGTCTCTATTACCTGTGCTCTGTTGTTATATTGCTCAAGTAGCGATGGCATGACAGCAGCTGTAATGATGTGACTCGCACTAGTGGAGGCGCTGCAGGCGGCTTGGAGGAGCTTTGCGCTCGGCCATACAAGCTTTAAGTCTGGTTCACACAGGTGATGTTTGCAGTCTGAAAAAAGCACAACACAGTACAACACAAGACCCATTTGAATGTCTCAGAGACTCATTGTTTAAAACTACGTTTAACAATAAATACTGATTTCTTCCAAAGAACCGCTGACAATTACAGTGTGTTTACGTTGACTGTATAGACTGTAAATAAAAGATGGACCCAGTAACTGTGACATCACCCTCAGTTTTTTGGGCTCCTCATTATAAAGCCTCAACATTAGCAATTTTGGTCACTGCACTGTTGTTTTTTCTGGAGCTAAAAGTGTTTAGTATTTAGGCAAGAGGGGGTTGCTAAGTTATTAGCTAATGCTAAGTCTAAAAAGCTCACGAAGGCCTGGCAGAGAACCCCTTGCTACAGCTATCTGTGTAGACATCTGTCAGTCAGAGAGGCCACGACCCTAACTTTACAACAGTATCCAAATATATCTGCTGTATTTAAAAAGCAGCGGGTAGAACACTTTTTCTAACAGGCTGTAAAAATGCATTTTCATGGTGTCATGTTGGGAATTTTAACACTGAAGTCAGCCTCAGGGGCCTTGAGAAGTACCAATTTTTCCATAGCAAGTGATTGTTGCCATAGGAGTTGGGATCTAGGCCTTTTGGACAGGGCCCTAAGACTCAAATATTGTGTTTTCAACCCACCTGTACAATCAATCTGTTAGACAGCAAACATGATATATTAGGTTATGAGAAAGTGTTTATGAGAAATTTGTGTTGTACAGTTATTTCATTTTTAACCTTAATTTATATTTTATTCCTTCCTAGTTAAATTTACCCTTTTTAATTTTTCATATTTATTTCCTATCTTATTCATAGCCTTTTCCTTTTTTTTTTCTTTAGGTCACGAGCAGTTGTCTAAGCATTTCACTGCATATCGACTGTGTATGACTGTGTACGTGACAAATAAAATTTGAATTTGATTTGAATTTGAAATTTGAAAGTTGTGGGTTAACTTTCAGATAACCACCGTGGTATACACAGTATATATATTTTAAAAAAAGTTTCCTGCCAACTTCCTCCCCAGTGTACTGTACTACATAGTGCCATATTCCTCCTCATCAGTATACAGAATTTCATTTCTATGTTTCTTTCTGGAACAAATGTACCTTTTTTCACATTTTCATGCATGCATAACAAAGCTGCATTTTACCTGTGAGAATGAAATCCAGGAATGTGCTGAGGGAGTCCTCAGAGTCAGAGCTGAGGACTGAGCGAGACAGACAGGAAGTGAGTGCGGTAAGAGCAGCGAGGCCTGCAGACTCGATCCTCTCGCTGGAGGTTTGAAACACCTGCAACGACACAACAAGCACAACTTAACTTGACTCTGCTGTTGTTAGTTAAACAGCAGTGAGGTCTTCATTCGCTTAATGCTACAAAAGAAACCTAGTATTTGGTGTTTAAGAAAGCACTACTGGCCTTAAATGTGCCTATGTTTTTTATGAGGGTGGAGTGGGTCAAAACGAGCTAAAAACAGAAATTAAAATCACACCACACCGAAGAAAGACCAGCTACAAGATATTAAAATATGTCTTAACAGAGCCAAGGCACAAAATAAGTACTACAAGTACTACTGCTATTTACATTTAAAAACTGATCTCAAACAGACCTCTCTGCGTACTGCTGTCCACAGTCCCTGCAGGAATTCAGCCACATGCTTGTGCTCATACTGTGACACACAAGCAGCCTGAAAATGTAAAAATAATCACAAGTTATCTACATGACTCTGCGCTGGACCACTTGTGACAAACGACTCTGCTGCTTAAGGGAATCGTGAGCTGTGCATCATTCACCTTTACTCATGCATACTCTGTGCAGCTGACAGTCAAATGTTTATATCTGAACTGTAAGCTCCTGTTTTAGCTGGAGGCACACAACAATTTTAGAGACGAGTTTCTCACCAGAGTCTGCAGCGAGTCCAGCTTTGCGCTCTGAACGTCTGAGTCCAGCTTCTCGATGAGGAGAGGTAACAGAAACTGTAAGATAGCAACAAATATTAGCGCAGAGGCCCTTCGTTTAGTTTGCTTAGGAGGAAAAGCTCCAAAACAGAAAAAGTAAACGACGTTTGAAAAAAACATAAATAAATAATACTTTCGCTCACCTCTGCAAAATTTGGAGTCCCAGTAAGGACGGCCCTCAGAGCCTGAACCAGTTCCTCCCTGGTGATGCCATGTGGGTCATTAGGAGGCTGAAGTGAGAAGAGATTTAAGAAGTCTATTAAAACATGCAGAACCCTACAAACATTCACAGATAATGGAAAGTACATCACACCCCCTCCCAGTTTCCTGTCCCTCTTCACTGCGCTATCAAATAATGAATATAAAGACTCCAATGCATATATGAAAGATGTCTCTTTTGTTATACAAGCACCAATGTGAGTGTCGATATTTCTGACAAACACAAATATATAAATGCAGAAAGACTCGTGCTATTGCAGACTTGCTCTCACAATATAGCCTCTGTTTGCATTTCATTTAATACCTGAAATAATACAATAAAAATGTAATCTCAAAGACCACTGATCAGTCATTATCAACTGGCAACCAATCGTGAAGCAAAAATGCTGCCCAAAATTCACAGGGTTAAACTTTAGATCTCTGTCTTATATTACTTTACAACACATGAACAATATTTATTACACGTTGTTGTCACATGTATCCCAGTTTGGCCTAAAAGGAGTTCTAACATCAGTGTTAATTTCCTCAACCAATAATTCTAATGAGGTTGTTGATGCATTCACTTTCATCAACACCCCCCCCCCCCCCCCCACACACACACACACACAAAAAATGCACAAGGACAAAAACTACAGTTTAACGTATCAACATGTTCATTAACGAATAAAAATGAAATGAGTTGTAAATAACTCTCAGTGGCAGAAACAAACTTTTACACTTTTTGTCACCTTTAGATTTAGTCTATGATAACATTACAACATTTAGCTGATAAAAACTTAGGAAATTTAGACGCCTAAAGTATGAATGAAACTAAATGATGTTTTAGTCAGAAGATTAAGATTAAAGCTAAATCAAAATTTGCTGCGAAAACGAAAACTTTGTAACATGTTATGGTTTAAAATGGTCGCTAATTAGTGAATCAGTGAATATAATCATTAAATATAAACTATGACTATCATAGCATGCTCATATAGATCAATGCAAATGTATAATAATAGATTTTCTAAATGATCCAATCTGTCGACTGATGTGTTGGGATATATTGTCTAAAGTGTTCAGAAACTAATGCTGATCCTGCACTGTTTCCTCTTCAGTTTAGACTGATGAGGGATGCTGGCCTTGAATGCTTAATAATACACATGGTTAAATATGCCCGTTCTTATACTTTACATGATGTTTTACGTCACATACACAACAAGCTTTGCGCCCATGTGCTGCTTTGCTCCAGAGAGACCTGTGATGCTCTGTGACATTGAGCTGCTTTTCGCGAGCAGTCGCTGCGTTATAACTTCCTACAGAGTCTGTCTGAGGTCACAGGAAGTCAGTGATGACATTTATGTCTGCTACACTCAGTTCTCGGTCCAAACCAGCTGAGTAAACAGGGACTTACTGGGGAGAAGTCGATTGGGAAATAGCAGGACGTCACTTCAAACAGTTCCTCTGTGAATTTACCTGAGACAGCAGATAGGAAATGAATGGGAGTTACAGTTTGATCACTGTGGCAGAAAAAAGGTGAGCTGCAGGTCAGGGACGCACAGAAATACAGAAGAGGTGACGGTGAGAAGAAATTATGGTGTTCTTACCGAGCTCATAGCCTCTGTGAATAAGGTTTTTGGCAATCTGAAAGGCCAACAAGAGGTTGCGAGGATCTCGCTCCCCGTCCATGGACTGCACAAACCCGAAGACAAAGTCGGCACCCAAACCCTTAAGTTCTGTGGGGAAACGAAGCAGGGACACATCATGTGGGGGGAAAAAAGTTTTGCAACACAACACACAAACACTGGTTCACACAATGACTAACAATGGCTTGCGTGAGAGTGCCACGATAAAGGAACTATACAACCAACCGTCTCTTCCTCAAAACTAGGAAAGCTGGTGAGGGTGTATCGGTGAAGCTTACAACCATCTCCAGGTGGGGATGATTATTATTTTGGCATGAAGAGCAAAAAAACCCGCAAGATTAATTTTCTTATGTGAAGTTAAAATATTAAAATGGAAGAAACAAGTAACAGCAGCTAAAAAAAATATTGGTACTAAGGGGATTTGTCAGTTTTCTAATGATTGCATCTTCTTCTCAATCATTCACTTCCTCTTATTTAACCTACACACACACACACACACTCTGACTGCTCCTGAAGCAGCTGTATGACGTTTCATTCCCTAAGTCAGAGGGCAGATATCAAAGCTCATATCAGAGCCAGAGATCCCAGCAAGATTCATTCATGTTTACTTTGATAAATCAGTCTTTGATGACTCGGTTTGAACCGTGATTAGAATGTTGTGATTAGTCATGTTGATTATCATCATATTGGAGATGAAGAAGAGTGTAATGATTTTTAAGACTCTGACAGTGTTCTTAATATAGTTTAAAACAGAGTCATTAAACCCCACAAATCACCTACAATCAGCCTTACTGGATCGGATTAATATCACCAGTTTGTAATTAAACTGTTTTATCTATAGTTGCTGTAACCTGCATGCTGTAGCTGTCAGGTCACAGCTGAATAACGAAGATTTACAACTCATTTAAAATCTATTTAGATCACAGCTGTTTTTTATATATAATAATGAAATGATTCTGTGTAAATGAGTAAACATCTCTGCTACTTATATTTATAAAAAAAAAAATCATATCTTTCCCCTCTTCTGTTTGTTAATACAAACAACGCAATCAAACATGATCCACAGAATTAAACAGGAGGGTCTTGCCCGTTGCCACGGTGAACATGGTCTGGAACCAAACAATCAGAGCTTACATTTAAAGTTTGTTAAATCTGCTTTCTGGAACAAAGCCCAGGTCACAGTACCATCCCTCCTGTAAGCGTTTCCATTTTAACAGCTGGTAGCTAAACACAACTATTCCACTGTCAGCCCTCCATTTTCATTTTTTACATATGGCTGTTATCCTAAAATATTAGCCAAACAGAGGACAGCGTGTCAGCGCCTTCCATTACTGCTGTGAGATTGTCCGACTTTTAAAACTCATGCTCAATTCTTAAATCACCGGTTATTTCAACATGACCTGCTTCCTTCCACAGAGCTTTCTGTCTCTGTTAACTGAGGTTTTGTGAATCAAACCATAATCTCTTACCCGCCTCTCTGGTCTCCATGATGTTGATAAGCATGCTGTAAACACATGCTCTCTCTGACAGCATCAGAGACTGCAGGGGAAATAAATACATTTGTTATTAGTAGGAACGGTTTTAGATGAGTCAGTTTTACCAGCAAAAACAATAACAGAGAGGAAACAAGAACATCTAACAAGTGTGGCACGATGTTTCCGACAGTGTGCTACATTAGGTTTTAAATGCATTACTTTCGGAAAAATCAAACACCGCAAAACTAGGAAAAGTCACAAAATGTCCACTAACGTCAGAAAAAACAACTCAGACAGTGGAACTGTTGACATCATATGTGGAATATAAAACGTGAATTGTTTGGTTAATCATAATAAATTCTTTGATTAATGGTGCAAACTCGTGCACTGCAAATTACTTAAATGTAATTTTTAACATTAGCATAACCCTCCAAGTACAGTGACCTAGATTAGTTATAGATGTTAGGTGAGTTATTTCTAAGCAACAACTTGATCTTGGCAATAATTTTGGTTAAGTAAAATACACCATGCGGTCTTTGTAAAATCCATGTTCTCTTCAATTCCCATTTTAAAGAACACAAAGACAACAAAGCTCACAACTAAGTATTAAAACTATGACATTATGTAGGTAAAAATCAATCCAGCACTGTCATTATTCCTCACAATAACACTTTAAATGTACAACAATATGACAGTCTCACCTGTACGTGGATGTCCTGGAACACTGACCTCAACATGGACACAGCTGAGCCAGGAGGCAGGTTTGTACACTTTGTCTGAATTGGGGGGGGG